TTTATATTATATATATGGAAAATTTATACTGAAGTTTCTTCAGAAGACTAAGTAAATGATTGAACAAAGTACTGCACTTTAGCCTGTACTTCTAGGTTGTGAATTTGCACATCAGGTTAAATTTGGTATGCCACTGTGTGGTAATGATTAATGCAGGCTAAATTTGCCTAGAACATCTCATCAGCAGATGTCCTTGGATGCCTTTTTTCACATAACTACTCAGATTTAAACACACACACACACACACACACACACACACACACACACAGAGATTCTCTAAGATGAGAAACAGAACTTCTAACAATAAACTATATGAATAATTTAATTCATTAGGTTCAATGCCTTGAATAAAATTAAGTATGCCTTTGAGATACGGTAATAGTATTTTAAAGTTTCATAGGCAATAAAAATTATTAAATAAAATGCTAGAAATAAACTAAAATAGTCCCAGGAAGCTTTTGTTTTTCTGCTTTGTGATTTTTAGGATTCTATGATATACTGTATTCATTCTAGTGGTGCATTAAATTATGGTTACAAGATGAAATAATTTCTGTTTTTAAACTAAGTTATCTTTATTTATTTATGTGTGTATTTGTGTGCATATGCACTTGTGTGGAGCTCAGAAGATAACTTGCCAAAGTTAGTTCTCACCTTCTACTAAGGGGGTCCTGGGGATCAAACTGAGGTCATCAAGATTGGCAGCAAATGCCTTACCCAATGAGTCATCTTACCAGTCCTGGCCCCCTTTTGGACAGGGTCTTCCTATGTAGCACAAGTTAGCCTTGAACACACAGCTATGTTCTTGTGTCAGTTTCCAGAGTGCTAGTATTATAGGCTTGGGCTGTAAAGTACTGATCAAATAAATGTATTTGTATGTTTTTTTGTTTGTAATTTTTGTGCAGGGTTAGTCTGCACAGCTTCAGGAATCATTTCACAAACCTCTGTGGCATGCTTCCTACTGCCCTCTGCTGCCAGTTTTCAGAAAGACCGTTTTCTGGCTAAATCCACTGGCTCGCTTCCTCAACTCACGCAATAGTAAAGTTTTAGGGCTCTTAGAGATAATGTAATAATTTGGAAACAGGCAGCTGGGTGTTAACTAATGTAATATAAGCTCTATGTTCTGACTGATAGTGTCTGCGGGCCTCGCGACTTTGGAAACATTGTTCCAAAGCTGTTTAACACCTGAAACTAAAGACATCTATTCAGTACTTCTGAAACTCCTGCAGTGTTGACAAAGATATGTGACACTGTAATGTGGTGAGCATTAGGGAGCAACATTACAAATACTAGAAAGTTTCTCAGGCCCCCGGTGTAAATTTCTACTTCCTATACTTGGACACTGATTCCATTATTAACTTTAAGTAACTTACCTGCCTGATGGAATACATGTCTGTCTCTCTTTTTCTGTCTCTCCCTCTGTCATTCACACATATATCAATGTAGCCCTAGCTGGCCTGGATCGTGGGATATAGACCAAGCTGGCCTCCTTCTGTCTTTGCCTCTCAAGTGATAGGTTTATGGATATACTTTATCACATTAGACATTCCTGGTACACAGATATTTGTACTCAGATGTGCCATCTCTTTTAGGCTCAAGATGAATTAAGACACCCTCCCCCATGTCAGACAGCGCTAGTATCATATCTCCATATATTCAGACTGGCTGTTTACTATGAAGCCCAAGCAGACCTCAAGAGCAGTGTTCTTACTGCAATCTCCCATCTGCTAGGGTTAAATGACTGAGCCACCAAACCTGGTTTCAAAGTTATTTTTGGCTTTTCTCTTATCTTCATTTTCATATCTGAGATGCTTTATTTATTTATTTATTTATTATTTGTTTATTGTTTTTGAGGCAGTATCATGTAGTCCAGGATGGCTTCAGACTTGCCATGTAGCCAAAGTCAGTTATGAGTTCTTGATCCACCTGCCTTTACGTTCCAAGTGCTAGGAATCTAGGAGTGCTGCACCACGCTTGGTTCGTGGCCATTCATAGTTACTCCTTGTCTCAGCTGTCTGCAGCCTCACTCTCAGTGCCCCTGTCAGCTGGAGAATGAATCCATCAGTCTCCCAGTTCGTACCCTTAACTACAGCCTCAATCTCACTGGCGCTCATCTTGCACTCTACCAGACTCTCAATAATTTTCCTTGCATGTCAGGCTGGGAATCTTTGATCTTAAATGCTGGGGAACAGCAGTGTTTTGTTAAAGATTTGGAAATATTTGTACATACATGATATATTTGGGGAATAGGAGCCAACTTGAAATATAAAATGTATGCCTCATATATACCTTTCTGCATACACACTGACACTGAAGACAACTTTGCACGATATTTTTAGTGCATACGAACTTAAACTATCACAAGAGATTAAGAGTGGACTTGTCCATTTGTGGTGTCAAAGTGTTGGAACTCAAAAACATTCAAACATTGGAGAATTTCAGATTCAGGTGTTTTTTTTTTGCTAGAAGTGAGGTTAGGTGAAATACGTTCAGCCTGTCTCAGTGTAGTTCACTGACTTTATTACACACTCTCGCTTCCCAGTATTCATTCACTTTGCTCACATCCCTAGACAGTAGGATGAGTTTTCTGCTTCAGCAATTGACTAATCTGCACTTGGTGTCATATACAAGAATGGCAGTTTTCTTTTAAGCTCATAGCAGAGACTGCTTTTACAGTCCATGATTTTCCTACCTCGGCCTCCCATGCTCAACAAGAAGGGTGGAGACCTTATTTACCATAATGAAGCCACTAACAAACCTCTTCATAAATAGTAAAATGCTAGACCTCCCTCCACTTTTGTGAACAAGTGGAGATTATTAGTACTTTTCATAAATATTTCCGCACCTTGAGAGAAGCCTCTATCAGATCGGACTGATGGATATAAAGAGTGGGATGATAAAATGATGGGAGATTTGGCATCTGTCTGAATGGGAACAAGGATATGAAAGGCAGGCTCGTCAACAAAGGCTCTTAAGGCTTCTGTAACCCGAAAACCAATACACTATAGAGTGGTGTCTGCCACTGTCAAACTTGAGAGTGACAGAGAGACTTATTCACATGTGTTGACATTCTCTCCTATCTACAGTGCCTTCAACCTGATCACTGCATTGTTAAGACAATCTTGTGCTTCAGGGCCCATGGCAATGTTCACCTTTAATAGACACTTTTCATCACCACAATCCAGCTGGACAGGAAGTACCGCCTTCTTTTTGTTTCTTCTTAGCTACTCTCCAACAGTTTTCTGTAGTTTTAAAATCATTTTTACTTTTGTGGAACTTGGATTAAACCCAGAACTTTGTGGATGACAGGGAAGTAAGTACTATGGCACTGAGTTAATTCCCCCAGTCTTACCTTAAAAAAAAGATTAAAAAAAATTTCATGGGTATGTGTGAGAGCCTGCATGCATGTATATGTAATACTCATGTGCCTGGTGTACGAGGGGGCCAGAAGAGGGTGTTGGATGTTCTATTTAGCAATCAAATATATGAATTTCTTGCAAAACTATTCTGTTTTATTCATTGACTACTCCCTCCCCTTCTGCCTCTTGGTAATCTCCTTCCTCTCCCAAACACACCACCCTTCTCCTTTCCTGACACATGTAATTCATTACCTTCTCTTGTTCCCCACTTCTCCTTTTAGTCAAATTACTCACCTTTCTGTTTTCATGCTGTGTGCAGGTGTGTGTGTGTGTGTAATTTAAATCTAGATTCTGTGTAAGAAAAATGACATCTTTCTGAGTCTATTTCACTTAGTATAATGATCTTCACTTCACTAATTTCCTGAGTATCATAATTTCATTCTTTATAGCTGAGTAAAATTCTGTTGCGTGCGTGCGCGTGCGCGCACACACACACACACACACCATTTTCTTGAACCATTTGTGTTAATGATATTCAGGCATCTGATTCTTTATCTTGACTATTGTGAGCAGTATGGTATAAATATGGATTCGCAAATATCTATGTGGTATGTTGACATAGGGTTCTTCAGGTGTATATACAGGAAGAGGAGTGTAGTTGAGTAACATAGCAATTTCATTTTTAGTTATTTATGAACCCCATACAAAGTGGCTGTGCCAGTTCAGATGCTGCATAAATTACTTATATTGTTGCTACGCCAAAATGTCTTGACAGAGGCAACTTAAGGGAGAATAGGGGTGTGTTTGGGCTTAGAGTTCAGTGTAATACTGCATCATGGTTGGAAAGGCCTGGCTGCAGGAGGAGGAGAGAAGCAGCAGACAGCTGGTCTCATTTTGTCTGCAGTAATGGAATTTTCATGCCCAGCTTGCTCTCCTTTTGAATTTACTCCAGAATCCTGGCCCATGGAATGATGACAGCCACAGTTAAAATGTGCCTTCCTATCTCAGGTAACCCAATCTAGCTACCTCTCACAGGCATTCCCAGAAGCTAACCTAATTCAGACAAGCAAGCATGCTTAGTAGTTTGTCTTCTAAGTAATTCAAGATCCTGGAAAATTGGCAATCAATATTAACCTTCACGGATATACATTGACAGTGTCTAAGGCTTCCTCTTTCTCCAAATCCTTGATAGTGTTTGTTATCTGGACGATAGCCATTCTGACTCTGGTGTCAAGGAATCTCAAAGCAGTTTTAATTTGCATTTTTCTGATGACTAAAGGTACTGTCTTTCTTTGGATAACTTTATATTCTTATCACTTGCACATTTATTGATTGGATTATTTGCTGTTTTTATATTTGCTTTCTTTTGAAATTGTTAGGTCTATTGAATATCAGTCCCCGGTAGGATTAGTTGTTGGCAATAACTGGGGAGATAGAAAAAAACCCGACACATCCATATGCCTATTCTGCTATTTTTCTTGGAATCTTTGCCCTCCCTCTCAAATTTTTGCTAATAGTTTCCTAATATGTAGGAAATAGTCTTTGTTAGTCAAGGTTCTTTGAATCCCTTCACAATGTTGCAGATGGTGAAGACTAGGGATGTTTCAAAGGGACCAGATTGAGATCTATCTCCTGTCTTTTCAGATCTTTCTCACCATCAAAAAAAAAAAGAATTCCAAGTCAGGACAAGATAAGGAATTGAAAACCCATATACTTAAAGGGTGAGTGCAGAATTCTCCAGCCGGAGGAATCACCGGAATCTATTTATTTTTGTTTTCGAGTCATGCTTTCAATCTGTAACCCAGTTGTCATGTAGCCCCAACTGACTTTGTCTCACAGCAAAGTCTTTGTCTATGTGGGTGCTAGGGATCTAGACTCAGGTAATTGTGCCATTAGCTCAAACAAATTCATCCCCCTAGACCCAAGGTATTTCATTGTTATAGAGCAACAGTTAGTTAGTGCTCATCTTGGTAGACTATGTTCTTCTGAACTGGTGTTTTGAGGTGTTCATTCCCTGGTTTTTTTCATTGTTGGGTCAGTGACATGAAGTCCTACTGTAAAAAAGGTCTGCAGCTGTGTCAGCCTTTAGCAACTGTGCAGTGTGCCTCTTTGATTCCTCTGCCTACAGGTTGACCTCAGTCGTCCCCTCTTCCCAGGGCTTGCTTCTAAATTCAGAATTCTCATATATAGAACTAGAAGACCACTTAGGAATGGGTATATGTAGAGAATACCTTTGGTTTCACAATGTAATCCCACTCATATCCATGGCAACTTCTTCACTTAAGTTCTGGTTAGTGCTCTTTGTAGATCATGTCTACAGTCTTTCTATCCAATTTGTATGCATTCTTCAGGTATCTAGGCTTTTAACATCTTTTTAGTGTATAAGGAGACTCAATGAAGCAGCCCCAGGACTGCCTGTCTTTGTGAACCACATGCAAGTGTCACTTGCATCTTGCTAGGCATGAGGTAATTTCCTGAGCAGTCCCTTTTCCTCCCATTCTCCTTGGGAGCTAGGGTGTGGTGATCAGAGTAAGTCCTGAGTGAGTGAAGTCCTGAGTCAATCTGTGTTGTTGACATGAGCACAGCCAAGTCAAAGACCCTAGCCTCAGATTCAGAATGAAATGACAAGGGGTTCCTTGGATGTCCAAGTGCGGGTGTTGACAGTGCGTGTAGAAAATGTATACCATAGCTTTATTCCCACCGATATTTAAAGCCTGAAGATTTTTGCCCTATAGAGACTGCTCCTACAGAGATTAGCTGAATCTGCCTCCTTGCTCCAGCTGTATACCCACCCTCCTTGTTCAACTGTATGCAATAACCCCCGCTCACTGTTCAAATCTACATACTTGTCTTAGTGTTTCTATAGCTTCAAAAAAACCATCATGAACACAGAGGAAGCTGGGGAGGAAAGGGTTTATTCAGTGTACACTTCCACAGCACTGATTATCACCAAAGGAAATCAGGACAGGAACTCAAACAGGGAGGAACCTGGAGGTGGGAGCTGATGCAGAGGCATGGAAGTGTACTACTTATTGACTTGCTCAGCCTGCTTTCTGATAGAACCCAGACCACCAGTACAGGGATGGCAGCACCCACAGTGGGCTGGACCCTCCCCCATTGATATCTAATGAAGTGCCTTACAGTTGTATCTTATGGAGGCATTTCTCAATTAACTTTCCCTCCATTCAGATAACTCTATTTTGTATGTCAAGATGACACAGACCAGCCAAAACAACAATAAACACACTGAACTCCTGGGATGTTGTAGTTTTGCCATTAGAGAGCCCAGTACACCTGATCCTGGCTTTTCTGTGTCTCTGTTTGTCTTTTCTCTATTCTTTAGGCATCCCCAGTCAGGTTCATCCCTGGAGTCTTGCTGGACAGGGCAGTTGGGTACTGACTTTATGATGTTGATCCATGCATAATATGCCCTACTACGTTCTTTCATTGTTGTTGCTTTTGTTTTCATGGCAGGGTTTCTCTGTGTAACTGTCCTGGAACTCACTCTGTAGACCAGGTTGGCCTCAAACTCAGACATCCTCCTACCTCTGCTTCCTGAGTGCTGGGATTACAGGCCTGCACCACCACTGCCTGGAATGCCCTAACTTCTTAATGGTTCTGAATTTAGAGTATGAAGTTTAAAAGCTAAAATTATAGTATCTTAGAACTCATTTTAATTATTAATATACCCACCTCTCTCTTCTTTTGATTTCTGTGAGACATGATTGAACTTAGACGCCAGCTCTTCTGCCTTATCTTCCCAAGTATTGGGACTATGGATGTGCGCCACTATGCTCGATTTTTAGTTTCCTTTTTCTTTACTTGGCTTGATAAAGGATCTCACTGTCAACAGTAATTTTTTAAAATTTTATACTCTACCTGTCTTGTCCAGCCCAGTCTCTGCCAAGATTTTCTAATGTTTATATAGAAATTTAAAAGTCATCAGCGAACTTTTTCCCTGACTCATGTTTTCTGAATCTATATACAGAATGCCATGCACAGCCTCCTGGGGCTAGGATGGGAAAATAGTTTCGTCACATTTAGGGCCATTATGGTCATCTTTGTTGCTTGGCTAATTATTCTCTCATTTATTTTTTTTGGTTCCTCTACATACTAGTTTTATTGAACTGTACATCAAAAGTATTTTAAGTTAAGCATCAAATTTTTTGTATCCTTTTAATTATACTAAGAATACAAGCATTATTTATTCCCAGATTTGTTGAAAAATCAGCTTTGTATCATTATGTTGCATAACTTTGCCTACAGAATAACAAACATTTAAACAATGGATGAATTTGATAAATATACTTGGGAAATAATTTTGAAAATATAGGTATTTTATAACATTATCTCTGTACAATTGTTTTCTTATATATTACACCTGATGACAGTTTCCCCCAAAGGAACATTTTATTTACTTGGATGATTACATGAATGTAAAACAGGGACTGAAACTGGAAAACATAATGTTATATACTTTTTTAAATGATCCTTCCTTTTGACTTTTCAATTTCAGTGTCAAATTGACAGGTCTGCTTTAGTAGCCCAGCCCTTGGGATCAAAGACAACTAGTTCTCCTCACTGTTGCCTGTTGCTCAGATTCCAGGAATGCCAGTGTGTTCCTTTTTTTAGAAAATGCAGCTGCTTGTTTCTGGCTTGTTCTACCCACCCCAGTCTTCAATGACAACTGCTAAGGATGTGGAAGGGGGAGGGAAGGTGTGGGGGAAGGCCTACTGTCAGGAAAGAATTTTAATAACTAGGGTAGAGGTAAACTTGTCAGTTGAGTGTAGACACTTCTAGGATATATTCTGCGAAGTGAGAGGGATAAAAAGAAAAAGCCAACATGACCTCAAAATGTAGGGGAAACTTTGTTCTTTCATAATTTATCAATCATGAATTAGTTTCAGAATTCTTGTAAATTGTCTCATCAACTTACCAAATATTCTTAGAATTCCCTTACATCCCAATTGCTATCTAATCCCCAGGAACAAAATGTTATAAAGTGAGCAACATTACAGTGCTTGTTTCAATAGAATTTGCCAATATTTCTTCAATCTTTTTCTCATAGCATACTGGCCATGTGACTCTCCAGATGGCAATTTCTCCACTTCCCTTTCTGGGCACAACATAACTCTTTTGTCCAATGCCCAAGGCCCTTTGTAATGAGATTCAGGGCTATCGTACAAGTCCTATTTCTTCTTCTTAGCTATTTATTATGTTGTGAATAGGCCACAGTGTCTTCTTATAATTTTATGTTGGTATCCCCAACTCCTGCTTACTCTTGAGATGAAATGCCACATGTCTTAAATCACATTCTTTTTGCCCTGGACTATGTTAGGGTACTTTTCTTTAAGCTTCCTTTGTGCCTACCACTGTCATAATCTTCAGTAATATAATATTGAGGCTATTTGCATCCAGTTTATTTTCTTCCATAAGAGAAGGATGGTGTATAGACTTTTATTTTTGTACCTCCCACATATACCATAGGTCTGGTATACACCAGGTACACAGTTAGTGATGGCCTGGTCAGTGAATGAATGAATGAATTAATCATCCTTCAATTTTATATATCCACTGCCAATTAAATTTTTTTCTAGTGTTCTTTTCTCTCACTGTTTCTCATGACTTCTCTTTTCAGAATGCTCTCAGAAGGGTATCTTAGTGGACTTGCCTACTGGAATGACATTCATTGGAATTGTGCATCTTATAATGAACCGGTAGCTGGGGAACAGGGTGAGGAAACAAGGTCTGTTGCTGCTCTTTCATATTCCTCTGTGGATGAAGCACAAGTCCAAAGCCTTTATGTGAGCTGCAAATCGTCTGGCAAGTTTATTTCACCAGTGCGTGCAAGAGGGAGTCAACATAGCAGAAGCCAGAGCAGAACAGTGTTGCAGACAAACTTCAACCCTGTATTTGAAAGTCCAACCTTGGCCACAGTTGACATTTGCAGAGACGCGATCAGAGAGACCTATTTGGTTCCACCTTCTTGCAAAAGTATTTGCAAAAATTACAATGACTTACATATTGCAGGGGGACAGGTGATGGCCATTAACTCAGTAATGGCAGATTTTCCCTCGGAGAGCAGTTTTGAAGATGGTCCTTTGCTGAGGTCATCTGAGATTCCTTTGTCTATGGAGGACTCCATTTCTACTCAGCCCACTGAATTTCCCCTCAAGCCTATCCAGCGCTACTCATCCTACTGGAGAATAACCAGCATCAAAGAGAAAACCAGCCTGCAAATGCAGAAGCCTATTTCAAATGCAGTGCTCAATGAGTACCTGGAGCAGAAGGTGGTGGAATTATATAAGCAATACTTTATGGACACTGGGTTTCAAGACAGTTCTCCTACCCAGATTCTAGCATCAGAACTCATCATGACAAATGTGGACCAAATTAGTCTTCAAGTATCTAGAGAGAAGAACCTGGACACCTCAAAAGTCAAGGACATAGTTATTAGCCACCTATTGCAGTTGGTATCATCTGAGATTAGCACCCCTAGTCTCCATATTTCTCAGTATAGCAATATAACTCCATAGAGAATATTCCTCTCAACTTTTTCTCATTTTTATCAATCCCAAAGTAATAATGTATTTTGGTTTATTCAGAGAATTGAGAGGGAAGGAACTATGGAAGGGATGTAAGGACTAATAAAGGAAAGTTTGAGAAATCTCTTACTGCTATATGTACTGAAGGAATACAGGATGGTTTCAAGGGCAGGCTTATACAGAAACAGAAAATATAAAAATGATCACAGAGAGAAGATATTAAACATGCGTTTCACAGTCACATAAATTCCTCCAAGTTGTTTTTCTAGAAAGAAAAGAACTACAAGAAGGTTGTTAAATTTGGGTGGACCGACATTTTTCCAAGTATAAGCTTGTATCTTTTTTCTCTATTCTGTATCAGTAAGTCATTTAGGTATATTCTTTGTAAATATTAAAGGTATACCAAACAAATTGCAGTTGTTTAATTCTTTGCAGCAAGGTTCAATGTAGTTCAGGTTGGCTTTGCAATCATTATATAGCCAATGTTCTTGAATTTTTTATTCTCCTGCTTCTGTCTTGCAGGTACTGGTATTATAGGCATGTACCATCACATCTTAATGTGTTTTTATTTTTGAAGAAAAGGCACAGCCACAAGACAATGACTTAAATCCCCTGATTCTATTTAGTGACAGAGATAACATTTTTCCAAGGGAAAAGTCTCCCACTGTGAACACTGAAACATTTTGTTTTATTTTGCTGAGTATGATTTTCATAGTGCTGTTATGTTCAAAATAAATTGTGGAAACTTTTTTTCCCATTTTCCTTTTTCATATGTTCTTTTGTTCTGGAGCTAGAAAAAAATCTTCTATATGCTCCATATAAGACCTAGAATTCCATAATACCAAGTTCTATATATTTGTTTACTAAACTGTAGCTTCATGTAAACATTACTGTCTTAATCTTTTATCCAGTTTAGGAGTTGAAAAACTATGACTCATTGGCCAAATGTAACTTTATGGTAATTTTGAACTCTTGTCAGCTAGGGTTGGATGTTCTTTTTCTCTTCATCTTCTTTTTTGTGATTGTGAAGCTTTTATTTCTTTTTTTACATACTAATCCCAGTTCCTCCTCTCTCCACTCCTCCCACTCCCCCTACCTTCCCCTCACTCCACCCCTCTTTGCACCTCAGAGAAAGTAAGGCTTCCGATAGGGAGTCAACAAAGTCTGTCCCATCACCACATTGAAGCAGGACCAAGGCACTCCCCCCTATGTCTAGACTGAGCAAGGTGTCCTTCCGTAGGAAATGGGCTTCAAACAGCCAGTTCATGCACTGGAGGTAAATAATTGTTCCCCTGCCAATGGATTATTTGGTATTTTGGTGTCTAGTTTCTTCAGGTATTTGTTTATTTGGAGTTCAGCCCTCTATCAGATGTGGGGTTGGTGAGGTTCTTTTCCCATTCTGTAGGCTGTCATTTTGTTTTGTTGAGTGTGTCCTTTGCCTTACAGAAGTTTTTCAGTTTTAGGATATCTCATTTATTAATTGTTGCTCTCAGTGTCTGTGCTACTGGTGCTGAGGAAGTGGTCTCCTGTGTCAATGTGTTCAAGGCTACTTCCCACTTTCTTTTCTATGAGGTTCAGTGTGGTTGAATTTATTTTGAGGTCTTTGATCCATTTGGACTTGAGTTTGGTGCATGAAAATAGATAGGGATCTATTTGCATTGTTCTAAGTATCAGTCTCCAACTATGCCAGTACCATTTGTTGAAGATGTTTTCTTTTTCCATTTTATAATTTTAGCTTCTTCATCAAAAATTAGGTGTCCATAGGTGTGTGGGTCAATATCAGGGTTTTCGGTTCAATTCCATTGGTCTACCTGTCTGTTTTTATGCCAGTACCAAGATGTTTTCATTACTGTAGCTCTATAATAGAACTTGAAGTCAGGGATGGTGATGCCTCCAGAAGTTCTTTTATTGTACATGATTGTTGTGGCTATCCTTGGTTTTTTGTTTTTCCATATGAAGTTGAGTGTTGTTCTTTTGAGGTCTGTGAAGAATTGTCCTGGGATTTTGATAGGGACAGCATTAAATCTGTAGGCTGCTCTAGGTAAGAATGTCATTTTTTTACTATGTTAATCCTACTTACCCATGAGCATGGGAGATCTTTCCATTTTCCGATATCCTCTTCAATTTTGTTCTTCAAAGACTTAAAGTTCTTGTCATACGGGTCTTTTCAAGATTTGTTTAGAGTTGTCCCAAGATATTTTATGTTGTTTGTGGCTATTGTAAAGGGCGATGTTTCTCTGTTTACTTTCTCAGTCCATTTATTGTCTGTATATATTAGGGCTACTGGTTTTTTTTTTAGTTCATCTTGTATCCTGCCACTTTGCTGAAGGAGTTTATTAGCTGTAGGAGTTCCCTGGTAGAATTTTTTGGATCACTTATGTAAAATATCATCATCAGCAAATACAAAAAGTTTGATTTCTTCCTTTCCAGTTTGTATCCCCTTAATCTCCATTTGTTGTCTTATTGCTCTAGCTAGAACTTCAAGTACAATATTGTAGAGATATGGAGAGAGTGGACAGCCTTGTCTTGTTCCTGATTTTAGAGGAATCACGTTGAGTTTCTCTCCATTTAGTTTGATGTTGGCTGTTGGTTTGCTGTATATAGCTTTTATCATGCTTAGGTATGTTCTTGTTATCCCTGATCTCTCCAAGACCTTTATCATAAAGGGGTGATGTGATTTTTCTTTTTCAGTTTGTTTATATGTTGGATTACATTGATTGATTTTGGTATGTTGAGCCATCCCTGCATCTCTGGGATGAAGCCTACTTGATCATGGTAGATGATTTTTCTGATGTGTTATTGGATTGGGGTTGTATTTTATTGAGTATTTTTCCATCAATATTCATGAGGGATATTGGTCTATAATTCTCTTTCTTAGTAGCCTCTTTGTGTGTGTGTGTGTGTGTGTGTGTGTGTGTGTGTGTGTTGGTTTTTTTCAGCATCTTTATATTACATAGCTCTGGCTAGCCTGGAACTCACTATGTAGATCAGACTGATCTCTAACTTATAGAGATCTGCCTGCCTGTATGGACATGCTGGGATTAAGAGCCTGTGCCGTACCACCACACCACACCCAGTAGGTTTTATTATTTTTAATTTTTAACATGGTTTAAAAAACCTGAAATGCTTAAATAAAAATATTCTGGAGCATGTGAAACTTACATGAAATTCAAAATAGAAATTCAGTGTACATAAACTACATGTTAATTATTTATTTATTTTTGGCAGTGCTGGGGTTGGAATTCAAGGCCTTACTCATGACAGACAGATACACTAACCCAGAGATATATCCCAACTGCCTACTAGATTTCATTTATTTATTTATTATTTACTTCCTATAGTCTGAGGGTGCCTTCACACAAGAATAGCAGAGATGAGCAGGCATGGCAAAGATCATATGACACAACAAAGTCCCACTCTATGACCATCTGGCTCTTTACAGAGACATTTGCCTGCTCTGCTCAACAATAGCATTTTGCCCATACTTGATTCAGGTTTACAGGGAGGCAGTCTCTCAAAGGATATTAAGGAGCACGTTTATGGAGAATAGGTCTTGGGAACAACCTCTGTGAGGGAATGAGGGCAACAAATGCAGAGGTTGCTAGAAAGGGCTAGGGTGTTTCCTCAAAACAGTTCCAAATTGAAACAAGAGATCTGGCGCTCATACTCAAGCATCTAGCAGCAAGGTGCATACCTTGAACCGAGTGGTTCAGTGAGAGCAGTTTGTAGACTGGAAGTCTACAGTGACTCTTCATCAGCCAAACTCCAGGCAGCTATGGTGGTTACCTCTGTGGCAGGGATGGAAATTTCACATTCAGAAGGAGGAGCTTGGGTTGAACAATCTTTCAGGATTTTCCTATTTGTATGCGTAGAGTGAAAGAATGTAGCATTCATAGCATATGCTATCATGCAAGGAAAACTGATTTTGAAACAAGGTTTCGTAAATGTTATTCACTAGTTTCAATGTATCACCAAAATTATAATAATTATTAATAATAACTACTGAATCATAATAATCATCACCATAATTAATTAATCCAGCATAATTAATATTATGCCTTAATTGCCTACTCTATATGTAGACCATGTTAAGCATTTTCATAAAGGATGCAATTCTCATAATAATTTAAGGACAGAGAAACTTATCTCCTTAAAGATAATCCAGATAGACTAAGGGTAGTCATGGAATTTGCCCAAAACCACAGGGTAGGTGGTAGAATTTAATTTGGATTAGGTTATGTTTAATTTTGAAGTTCTGTGGATTTTTTTGTGACAGGGTTTCTCTGTGTAACAGCCCTGGATGTCCTGGAACTCATTCTGTAGACTCGGCTGGCCTCGAACTCACAGAGATCTGCCTGTCTCTGTTTCTTGAGTGCTGAGATTAAAGGTGTGGGCCACCACCACCTGGGAGTTCTGTGGATTTTTATTTTATTGTTATTTTGTTATGGAGCCAAAGTGAGTCTTGAAGTTATGTTCTTAATCTATTAGTGATCCCAGAGTTCAGATTATAGGACAGATACACACTACCATGCCTGGCTAGAAGTTTTGGATTTTAACAACTGCCATCTGCTTTCTCCTGTTTTTATTTTTGTTTTTTACTCTTGTTCCTGAGTATGAAACACAGGCAAGGCCTCATACAACCTAGGGAAGCACTTACGAGAGTCCCATACTCTACCCATTTTATATTTTATTTTTCATTCTGAGAAAGGTTCTGACACGTTACCCATGCTCTATTGGAAGTTAGGCCTTTAAGGCATGGTTCTCCTGGCTCACTTCTCAAGTAGCTAGTATTATATGCCTGCACCACCAGCCCTGGCTGCTTTCTCCTGCAGGTCTCTTTAAAGTTTCCCATTTCAAGACGAACTTATTAATCTGATAACAATTATGTTAATTCAATTTCTTATGTATTTGTTTTATAACTTCTCCCCAGAACATAAACTTTAGTATATTCATGTTTTGCTACATCCCAAACCCTGCTTGGACATAGCATGTGATTACCATTTGAGAAATGGATGATTATGTTTGGATAATGTTTGTTATTGCATCTGCTGATCAATATGAAAATCAGGTAATTGTGGACAGAAAAAAATGATACTGAAGTTTCCTTCTCCATGTAGTAAATTAATTGAATAAATGGGTTTATCAGTAGGAAAATGCTACACTAAAACAATGCATAATAAAATATCACCTTGGATATTTTCTTTTGCTTATTGAGGAATAATGTTAGAAACCTGATTGGTTTGTTAATTTTCACTGAGCACCCATTTGTGTCTGTATTTTTTATTGGATAAATATGTATTTACATTATGGCAAAGATACAATGCCTGTATCCTAACGTCCCTCTTCTCTGAAAACTTACCATATTATTGAAGAGACCAATAAGATAACTTGGGAACAGGTAGCAAACCAAT